CGTGCCTTATCTACTTACGACCTAAGATGTTCACTCATGATTGCTGTGGTACCACAGTCAGTTTTATTCGAACAATACTACTGGCCATATAAACAGTTACTGCGTTTATGGCTTGGAGGACCATTTTCCTGTATCAAGCATCAGCAAAACGGCAGAGATTTTGAGTAAATCGTGGGTAAAATGTCGTTGCGGCACTTTCTTTTGCCTGCTTATCTTAACCAAACAGCCTTGGTCGAATGATGACAATCAGCTGTTCCATAATTGCGAACATATTGATCGTCTTTGTTCAGGGACCTGGGCTCACGGCGACAAGATTTTCGATTTTCTGTATCGTAAATCAGCAGAGGCCAGGTTTTTCGGCCATCCATATTTCCGGTTTAGTGTGGTGATTTACTGTTTCAACCTGGGATTGATGATAATTGTGTTAAGATCGATACAATACCCTTCTCCATCAAATCTCTGAAAAAATGCAGTCTAATCCTGCCTTATCAGAGAGGCTGTCTTAGTTCCGAAGGACAAACAAACTATATTGTATTTTGTTGACGTGTACAGCCATACGATATCACGTAGGGAAGCATTCTTGAGATTGGGCGAGTGGTGTATCGAAAAATAAGTTTTCTTTATGTTCGCCGATAAGCGGAACCTAGCTGAATAGTGGTTCAGTATCCATTTGACCAACAATCCGTAATCATTTTAGCGAATCGCAGTCTTTTTTATTCATAAATTCCCTCTTGTCTTCCAAGAGTTCCGCTACCCTGGAAAGACTATCGCCATCGATGAATCCCTTCACATCAGCATGAGGGTTTTAGTATGCACATGTGGAACCACCTGTGTCGAATTCCAATGGGCGTTGCCTTGTGGCTTCGGCTTCGTTTAACCTATGTCTGACAGCAATTCGTGCATGAGTGCTTCCTGAGTTCGATGCTGGCGTACCGATTCACGGCCGTCCAAATGGTCATCTACCCAACTCGACATACCTGACGATGCTGCACCATATGTTACTTTTTGCGGAGCGAGGGCGAAATGGAAGTGAATAACCAGAGCGTTTGCCTTACTAACATCTCTACTTGGTGGTACAAATGTCCCTAGAACGCTTGTTTCTTACCCACTTGACCTGAGGTTACTACTACATTACTGATCATATCTTAGCGTGGTGGGAACTTTTCCCTTACTTCATCAGCAGCATGTCCACACACATGGCGATCGATACTTAACTACGTGCTTGGACAACTAATGCTTTCGGTCGACTACATAAACGCGTTTCGGTCAGTTAGTTCTGCAGCTCAGGAGTCGTGCACCAGAGCGCTGTGGTTTCAGTTGCTACGGCTTCTTTCATCGAGAAGGGGGATACGGGAATGAGACCCATTCATTGCAGCAGATGGTCCGATTTGTGCACTGATGACAAATGGATCTGTTTGTTGAGCATGGCAGGAAGTGACAGCTACGCAGTGAAGACGGTCGCTTTAATGCAGGACCACCAGTAGCTGCGTGACAAAGTCATGTCTGGCACGGTCAGTAACCGTTGTTTCTTCTCGCCCTGCGGTCCCCATCCGAGGAGGCAGCAGTTACCAGTGCGACTCGGTTGGCTGGTGAAAGTCATGGACTGACTGCTTCTGGGTCGTCTCCATCCGACACAAAGCTGAAGGAAGATTACTCTACGGTGCAAACCATCCTATGACGTACGAAGTACATCACCTTGCCAGTGTAACCTGTGGAATATGACCAGCTGACTCATCGAGGAAGAGTGGGCTTTCCCGAAAACCGTCTGCTGTTCCTGCTCTGATGTTTCCATCAGACCAGCTCAAAGCTTCCGATGTACCAATAATCATTAACACATTTGGCGCTATTATAAGATCGTTGTATCCAGAATGGTCAATCACTTCCTTAACTCATCTGTTGGGTAGAACGGTAGAACAGAAGGGTCGATGTGTGGTGACTCGTCCCGATTTTACCATCTCCCATGCGAAGAACACTCAGTTACATGGAGAAGCATTTTGTCTGACTGATACCGATCGCCAGTCCTGCACAGTAGACGACGCGTTTGAGAGCACATGATAGGTGTTTCGTTTTCGTCAAGTAGGACAGAGCATGTTTGACGTCTGCAATTTAAATATCTGAGATAGTTTCGATGCCAGAACACTGTCTCAATGTCCGTCAAGGTGCCCAGTTAATCGCGAAGTTGAATAACACTGGTTATGAAGAACACATCCATCTCGTAGCGAATGGGAGATCAACTTCAAACGTTTCACCGCACAATCGAACTCGACCTTTTGTTGACAAATTGTGTGGGTTTTGGTGAAACTGCAATATTACGCCATCAACAAAAAGGCTAATCCATACTGATTCACGTTGGATAGGCTCGAACGCAGCATGAAAGTTGATGGAACAAGCGATGGTTCGCGGTTACGGATTCGGTGAGATGCTATACTGGGGAATCACAATTCTGGACAAGTCGGGATTCCAAGAAATCGGCGCATTGTGAGTATGACCACCCAAGGTAAAGACGATCCCGTAGAAACTAGAGCTGTCCACTGGACCGCTGCACATTAGTAGACGTGCATTCTTGCTGCAGACATTCACATGATTTCTGAGTTGGATACTGTCATCTCAGAGAAGCATACGGTATCTGGAGAATACGAAGTGTTATTCTCAGGCTGCAACTACTCAACAGGGTGTGGGCATTCCCGCAGTTGATGTGAACAGGACTTGTTTAATAATCGCTCTTGTTCTTGACCCAGCACAGGGGGCGTCGCTTGTCGGGGGCGCCGCAGTATCTTGTGTGTTAATCTATTTGGGCATCTTCATGAAGCAGCGGTGCTTATGGTGTCGGTAAGGTCCTTGTTGTCAGTCGGCCTTGAACATACAACTGCGAGAGAGCAGAATGATTACCGAGAACGATAGAATGGAAATACGTTGTCTCGGATGGATTCGGGGAGTAATCTCAGTGGCCCAATCAGATCGAAGTTCTCGCTGCAGTTGTTTAAGGACCAGGGTTTTGGACAACCTCTTCAGTCGGACGAGTGAGTGACTCTCAGCCGGCCTGTAAACTGTGGCAACAGTTTTCTATCTTTCGTTTTAGTGAAAGCACCTCCTTCCTGATAAACAGAACTCGCTTCGTCGAGTTCGCATTCTAGTAGGTCTCTTGGGTGGAATTGGTGGATTGCAAGAGATGGCTGTTTGTTTCCTTGGAGCACCTAACCCCAGCCATATCGAGGCGTTTGGAAGCGAAGGGTCGTTTGGCTCTTTTTAACGAAGAATCAGCTGCAAGTGAAGAGATGGGTTTCAATTGATTTTCAACTGTCCCTATTTCTCTCCACAAAAGATCGTTTTGAGCTCATTCCTTGATCGGTTAGGGTTTCCTGGAAAATTCTCCGCCGCGCAGAAAACATAGGCCTCCTCTTGTACCGGAAGTACGTTTTGAATCTAAGTGTTTATGACTACGAATGGCCGCAGATCCCGGTTTATCCCTTGTGCGAAAGTCATCAATGTACGCACAAATCCATCTTAGCAACAGATCTTGTAGGTTTGTGTCAGAGGCTTTTTGAGGCCCATCAGGATCACATTTCCAGGACAGACAGGCGGCCTCGGGTAACAGTTTAGATGGATGTCCGACGCACTCACGGCCGATGACACACCAGGCTTGACTAGCCGAGACTTAACTGGTCGAACCGCTTGTTTGGTCAGTTTGAACTGCGCGGATTGGGATGGTAGTCAAGAGTTTTGCGCATGTGCTGCTAAAAAAATACAGGTAGTGTTGGTGATCACATTCAGATAGGCGCGCATGGAAGGATTCTTCCGGTGAGAGGTTTTCTAGCTCACCCGGTACCACAAGCGAGTAACCAATTTGTTAGAGTGACCACGGATACATACTTGGAATAGCACGCTGTACATCAGAATCAGGCTTTTTAACTCAGAATCCTTATGTCTGACTGAGTGCCACATACGTGCTTCGAAGACACGTTCGTGAAGAGCCAGGCAGTATCAAGTGAACACATTTCGGTGACTAGGAAGTTTGGTTCTCTAATGATGTTTGTGGTTTAAAATGTGCCTTAATATTTGGACAGATCTGACCGACCTTGACATTCATACTCATCCCCCTGATACCCAATTCATAGATACATTCGACCTCCTATAAATAAACTCACTTGATCTGCCTGAGGCGTGGCTGCGCTTCCTGCTAGTTCGTTTTAGGTGCTCTTGAAAGCTCTTGAAAGCAAAGCTCAAAAGCTTTGCAAATCATGGTATTTCTTCTGTGTAATTTTGCTACGACTAGGCGATTTTTAGCACTTCCAAACGTCCCTGATTCTTATAGCCCTGCGAGCTCAGTAGTTAAAGCGCGCGCACCTATTATCTACATATCGACTGCTGCTGTCTAGGCTTGGTCATCTTGGCAGTGTTCCAGCCCTCATGCTTCCTTCGGGTCGCGCTAAAAGGGTGAGCGATTATTTATTTTTACCCCTGTACAACTGCAACTTACAACTTGGAAACACTACCGTATTTTTATGGTGATGCTACTAGGCGTTTTGTCTTCATTTTCTAATTGGCAGCACTAGAGACTACAGTACGTCGTTTTGGAACCTTCTCTGGATATGATGCTCCTACCCTAGTCACTATAGCTCTTCTAACCACCAGCTGGGATAGTTTAATCGCTTCGCATATGCCTCTCATCGAAGCCGCATATGAACTTATGCGAAGTTTTGTTAGCTACGGGCGGCGAGTTACTGTACTGAACCTCTTGTTCACACCAACACGCACACCAATGTATGTTTTTCCCCAGGCATTTCATCACACTTATAGATGCATTACAAGATTGGTTGATCAGACTGCTTGTGATCACAGGCTGTCGCCCGGCATGTCCCGTTCGACTGTGTTGCTTAACTGTACTTTACTCCACGCACCTTCTCCGTATTGTTCGATTTTTAACAAGGATTGAATTTTAGTGTACATGGGGTGACAATTTCCGAACTAATATATCTCATCCATGTTTTTGTGCGCCTCAGGTGAAAATCCTTGTTCCAAACTGTACCGCCGGTCTGGTGATTGGCAAAGTTGGTAGCTACGTGAAAGAGATCAAAGACCGAACCGGGGCATTCATCCAAATCTCACAAAAGTCCAAAGAATTCAATTTGATGGAACGTTGTATCACAATCGCAGGTTTGTAATTTCGCTGTGGATGCACGGTTTTCCTCTGTGAATGATCGTTGTAAACCAGATTTACAGGGTAACTGTGGTGGGATCAAGTGCCACAACCATGGTACTGCTAGGAAAGGAAAGAATTCGGCAGGCTGCAATAGTTTTGACCACTGCTGTACTATGGTCCGCTGACTTCAGACCTCCAGCTGCCGTCATTTGAGAGCAGTCCTTGTCCACATAAATGTGTGTCCAACAACTCAACGTGTTGTTCGGGGGGGGGGGGNTAAATGTGTGTCCAACTACTAAACCTGTTGTTCGGGGGGGGGGGTTGGTTTGCCCTTCGTCTTGTGGACTACGGTATTCTCGTTATCGTCGACATCATTGTACCATACTAATGTACCGTACTGCAATATAATGTACGTTTATTATGCCACGCTATATATATGCCATATTACTTGAGCCTCAGCCAGCCCAGTGGTTAAGGTAAGAGCTTACTTAGCTCTAAGTCCGTAGTTCGAACCCATCTCCGGTATCTCAACTGCTCCCGTCCAGGCTTGAGCATCCTTGCAGTATCTCTACTGTCATGCTTTCCTGGGGTGGCATGGCAGCCAGGCGCCCAAAGGGTGTTACAACTGAACGTTACATCATATGTTATACATCTTCATATTATATTACGCCGTAATAGTATCCTTGTGAATTCGCCAGAGATGTGTCAAACCCTATCATTTCTTGAAGTATTCAAGACACTAAATCTGCTTCTTCCCTATCTCGTGGTTTCACTTGAGCCAGAATAAAACGACGCTATTCACTGGGCCTCCGTTTCTTAAATCTTCGTTTTTCTCCATGCTCTTTTCCTAAGCCAAGTTTTGTTTTCTTTTTGCCTCAATCTTTGTTGTTAGCCTCAGTACGACAGACACTCCTTCTCATCCTCTTAGAATATCAACCATAAGCCTATCCTCTGCTTCTGCTCCCCCCTCTTCTTCCCGAAGTCAAAAATCACTTTTCTACTTGTAATGCACTACTCATAAGGTTGCTGAAAATTCGCCGACAGCCCAAGACCAGTTTTGCCCTTCTTGGGGCTCATCAGGTAGGCGCAGTCCCCGAGTTTCCGTCAACCTTATGTTCTACTTGAAACCAAATTGCACGAAATTGGCGAAATACACTCATTTGCAAGCAAATTTGATTTTGCGAGAGACTCACGTGGAACCCAGCTGAATCTCTCGTTCGTGATGTTTCCAGGCAACTAAGTCCCAGGAAGGGCGAATCGATCGTGGACTGTCGACGAATTTTCAGCAACCTTATGAGTAGTGCATTACAGGTGTATAAGTATCCCGATATGTCGAATATCGTAGCGACTGAAACCAACTGTTTTTTAGTTTGAACTTGTGTTCCGTGATTCGCAACCTTCTCAGCTGTGGTCTGTTTTCATACTCCGAATTCTCATTTTCATGCCCCTGTTGAACGTGACTCCATGCCGCGAAGTAGTCAGCCAGTTTTGAAAAGTATTGATCGGTTTTCGACAAGCTGAACGTCACGATTCTATTCACTTTTATGAGATCTCATGGATTAGTGGATTTAGCTGGTATCGCGCGACGATCCGATCCGACAAGAAGTGATCACTAATAAGTAATTAATTTAAACAAGATGGCTGTTTATTAGCGGGAAATCAACAGGAGGCCAACGAAAGGGGCACTTGATTTCCTGAGACTTTGAGTTGTCCAACTCAGTTGTTTGTGTCAACCTTGAAACCGAATTCTGTTTGCGCCGGGAACGAATGAAGCCAAACCGTTGTCCGCAACTTCAACGTACACCACATTCGTTTTCATTTGTGAATTGTTCACACACCGTTTGTTGGGTACAATAGAGAGACGCGAATTTGAAGGAGCCAATCGATCCAGCTGAATAATTAAAACACTTGCACACTTGTACTGCTTCTCGTTAAGAAGACTGATTGTACTTTGCGAAGAAATTTCTGCCTGTCTACCGTTGTGTGGTACGTTGGTAAGACTTTCCATTTCCAAGCGGAATGTCTGGATAAACCATCTGTATTCGAACAAGTTGTAGGTATGGTATCATAGATGTGTATGTCACTCTCAAACTGAATATCCTGTTGCCAGGTTAATGTGACACCAGCTGGACGTATCCACTTCTGAAGGCCTTTTTTTGCTCTCGCTTTTTGAGGTGTTTCGGCTAGTCTGAGAAGGCAATTGTTTGGTTTGATTGCACAAGATAACTGGTTTATCTATGTTTGTTCTTCCACACTAAGTCTTTGTAACCAATATGAAGGGGGTGTGGCATGCAATCTTACTTCTGCAGGTGAACCCGATCAGTGTAGAGCTGCCGTGGCGTTGGTATTAGCGAAGATAGCGGAAGATCCTCAGTCAACCAGTTGCCCAACAATATCTTATTCCCGCATCCAAGGCCCCGTTGCCAGTGCCTACCCAACCGGATCCCCGTTTGCCTTAGTCTCCATTCCCCGTGTTCCACTTCCTGGCCAAACCTCCGCTCAGGCTGCTGCAACCGATGTGACTCAGTCCGCAAGCGGTTACGTACCTCTACCGGATACGTACATGTCACCGATGATCCAGGCTGCATTGATGCAGGCGGCTGCATTGGCGCGTAGCTATTATCAGTCTACGGGACAGCAAGGTTTCATGCCCACTAGCCCACCTCCACCCGGGCAACAATCACAAGGATCACAACCTGGAACAGTTTCTACGCATGGGGGCAATTTATCGCTATCGGAAGGCCAGACTTCGGCTACAACTGCACCCAGTACTGATATGAGTGTTTACGCTTCGTTTCCTCAATCCGGCTCTACACATCTTTTACCTTCTGGGCCAACGGGTTTATGGACTGAGTCTGGTTGGGGTGCGACCTCGGACTCCCACCACCCTCAGTTGTTATCAGGACTAACTGGAGCCACACCATCAGGAGCCTCGGCAGCGACATTTGAACAGGCTTATCCAGCACCTCTGAATTTTGGTAAGCATTTCTGCACAAGAATGCTGTTGACTGATTTTAACATCCAGCATTTTATGTACTATCGCATGGCATACAGAGATCACGTTCTCCACGTTTTAGCTCATTCTGGTCCTATCGGATCACCTTATATCTAGAACCAGTGTGCTGACTTGTTTCGCCTAGCGCTTAGCTCTATTCATCCATCAGATATGTTCCTACATCTTCAGCCTCTTCACATCAACCACAATAGATAGGCTAGTTGTCTCATTCGTTTGCAAATAAGTGTATTGCGCAAAAATCACTTTTCCTACTTGCCTATCATCAGTTGAGACGCCACCAACTGTTTTTTTAGTTTGAACTTGTGTTCCGTGATTCGCAACCTTCTCAGCTGTGGTCTGTTTTCATACTCCGAATTCTCATTTTCATGCCCCTGTTGAACGTGACTCCATGCCGCGAAGTAGTCAGCCAGTTTTGAAAAGTATTGATCGGTTTTCGACAAGCTGAACGTCACGATTCTATTCACTTTTATGAGATCTCATGGATTAGTGGATTTAGCTCGTATCGCGCGACGATCCGGTCCGACAAGAAGTGATCAGTAATAAGTAATTAATTTAAACAAGATGGCTGTTTATTAGCGGGAAATCAACAGGAGGCCAACGAAAGGGGCACTTGATTTCCTGAGACTTTGAGTTGTCCAACTCAGTTGTTTGTGTCAACCTTGAAACCGAATTCTGTTTGCGCCGGGAACGAATGAAGCCAAACCGTTGTCCGCAACTTCAACGTACACCACATTCGTTTTCATTTGTGAATTGTTCACACACCGTTTGTTGGGTACAATAGAGAGACGCGAATTTGAAGGAGCCAATCGATCCAGCTGAATAATTAAAACACTTGCACACTTGTACTGCTTCTCGTTAAGAAGACTGATTGTACTTTGCGAAGAAATTTCTGCCTGTCTACCGTTGTGTGGTACGTTGGTAAGACTTTCCATTTCCAAGCGGAATGTCTGGATAAACCATCTGTATTCGAACAAGTTGTAGGTATGGTATCATAGATGTGTATGTCACTCTCAAACTGAATATCCTGTTGCCAGGTTAATGTGACACCAGCTGGACGTATCCACTTCTGAAGGCCTTTTTTTGCTCTCGCTTTTTGAGGTGTTTCGGCTAGTCTGAGAAGGCAATTGTTTGGTTTGATTGCACAAGATAACTGGTTTATCTATGTTTGTTCTTCCACACTAAGTCTTTGTAACCAATATGAAGGGGGTGTGGCATGCAATCTTACTTCTGCAGGTGAACCCGATCAGTGTAGAGCTGCCGTGGCGTTGGTATTAGCGAAGATAGCGGAAGATCCTCAGTCAACCAGTTGCCCAACAATATCTTATTCCCGCATCCAAGGCCCCGTTGCCAGTGCCTACCCAACCGGATCCCCGTTTGCCTTAGTCTCCATTCCCCGTGTTCCACTTCCTGGCCAAACCTCCGCTCAGGCTGCTGCAACCGATGTGACTCAGTCCGCAAGCGGTTACGTACCTCTACCGGATACGTACATGTCACCGATGATCCAGGCTGCATTGATGCAGGCGGCTGCATTGGCGCGTAGCTATTATCAGTCTACGGGACAGCAAGGTTTCATGCCCACTAGCCCACCTCCACCCGGGCAACAATCACAAGGATCACAACCTGGAACAGTTTCTACGCATGGGGGCAATTTATCGCTATCGGAAGGCCAGACTTCGGCTACAACTGCACCCAGTACTGATATGAGTGTTTACGCTTCGTTTCCTCAATCCGGCTCTACACATCTTTTACCTTCTGGGCCAACGGGTTTATGGACTGAGTCTGGTTGGGGTGCGACCTCGGACTCCCACCACCCTCAGTTGTTATCAGGACTAACTGGAGCCACACCATCAGGAGCCTCGGCAGCGACATTTGAACAGGCTTATCCAGCACCTCTGAATTTTGGTAAGCATTTCTGCACAAGAATGCTGTTGACTGATTTTAACATCCAGCATTTTATGTACTATCGCATGGCATACAGAGATCACGTTCTCCACGTTTTAGCTCATTCTGGTCCTATCGGATCACCTTATATCTAGAACCAGTGTGCTGACTTGTTTCGCCTAGCGCTTAGCTCTATTCATCCATCAGATATGTTCCTACATCTTCAGCCTCTTCACATCAACCACAATAGATAGGCTAGTTGTCTCTCCGATGGGGCGAGATGTCTCAGAGGTAAGAGCGCGAATTTACTGACCGGAAGGTCCGTGGTTCGAACCTAACCTCTGACTCTCGACTTCCCCTGTCTAGGCTTGGGCAACCTGGCAGTATCCCAGTCTTCGTGTTTCCTTCTGGTGGCATGGCAGTAAGGAACCGAAAGGAACCTGTCCCATCGATGTACAAGAACTTCCTTAACGCGATAGCATGTGCATGGTTTTGCGAAAGCGTAATGGGTGTTACTTTCGATATGCTCTACTTGCTTCGCACACCTGCAGCTGACTCCTCATCGAATGAAAACCGACCAAGTTTGACAACCGGTCGAGGAAATTTGTTGTTTCGCATGTTTACGTCATTAGATCCCGGCATCCAAAACACTCTTCTCCGAAGTAACACCAAATGAAGAAGAGAGAGTCTCCCTGGCCTAACCGAAGCAATGTATTTCCTGAACAAGCGGGTGGGGCAGTTCGTTATTCAGTCATGATAGAATGTTTGTACTGAAGTGTTCACCTTATAATTTGGATAGGCTGAGTCATGGCGTTCCCTGTATGCTGCAGTGTTTTCTGCCAGATCATCATCAGCTGTAAAAACCGTGTATTTGCTGTACAGTGGTTTTGGCTGCCATAATTTCGTTCACCGATGATTTGGGCATGTGAGGTAGATAGCTCTGCATTGGAGGCGATAGCTGGTATAATTGATGCGTCAATACAGTGTCAGTGGACTTTTCACTAGAAAGGTTATCGGGGGAGCTATGCATTTAAGGCAACAGCTCGAATGCATGAGCCCAATTGAAGGCGTGGATAGGCCATGCCTGACAACGTCTCTAAACATTGAGTTGAAGGCTGGATGGGCCATGCCTGACAACGTCTCTAAACATTGATGTGTCGCGTCTCAGGGCCCCTATCTTGGGAAACTGCAGTTACCCGTGCAACCGAGTTTTCTCGAGGTGGCTTTCACACTCCGCTGTCAAGTCATTGTTCAACCTTCCTTGACACGTTTCTACCATTTACATGGTTATGCGAAAAAAAAACTTCGAGAAAGTCGGTCGACTGGCGTACGGAGCAC